GATGAGCACTGGGTGTTATACTATATGTTGGCAAATCAAACTCCCATTAAAAATATATATAAAAATATATATATAAAGTCAATTTCAGAAGATAACTTTATTTTAATGGTTTTTTTTTCTATGCATTTTTGTGACTTAAACCTCTCTGTGTATTCAGCGAGTTTCCACTTGATGTGCCATGGCCTAATAGTTATGTGCCACTATACACATCCCATTAACTCTCTGAGTAACCATGAGGGGGTGTGGCTGGGGCAGCCAGCATTTACACCAGCATTTTGTTCAAATATTACCACTTATATATGTGCCAACAGGTGCAAAGGGTAAGGGGTCCTGGTTAAGAGAGCACAAGAGTAACCTTACAGCCCCAGTGAGAGTAAAGAGCCCCTGTCTATGGTATGTTTTTAAGCTCTGCAGTCAGAGCAGTGGAAATAGGCACAGGTATGAGAGAGCATTCCTCATTTCTAGGGTAAATAGATGGGTCTTTAATCTTTTCTTACCAAACAGTGAGCAATTCAGAGTTAATCACAAGAAATCAAGAATTGTGTGGTATCTCCAGTCTTCTCCCAAATCACCTCCTGAGTTCTTCAAAGACCACTGTCTTCTTCCTGGGTAAAGATTATTTTTTATTTCTTTGCTTTTGACTCTACTTCTCTAAACTCAAACACTAATGTATAGCCATGGCTAGAAATAGCAGCATTATTTTGAACTTCAAATATTTCTTTTGTTTCATAGGTGCCTGGGTGTCTCTTACCAGCTCCCCAGCCTTGCCCGACTGTGCCATGAATGGATTATGCTTCTGACGAAATCTCTGACAGCGTTTTGTTCAGTCTCCACCACAGGGTTCTTGTGTATTCTCAAGCACCCTCTCTGGGTTTCCGTTCTGCAGCGCCGCAGGCTGATGAAGGGACACTTTCCAAACCACAGGGCTCTCCCTTTGTCAGTGTCCTGCACTCTTTCACCGCCTGCATGAACCTCTCATTTCAATCTCTATCCAACCTAATTTCAAATAGCTTCAGTTTTCTAAAATTCTGTAGATTTTCTCTACTGCATCTCTTCTGGCCTTATTTTTAATTTTTTAAAAATTCACATTATGCTTATCTCCATACAAACTAGTCGTTTCCATTTTTCTTCTTTAGTCTCTACTTTTCCTGAATATATGTTAATAGCCTTGATCGTAAACATGCAAACTCATTACAGACTAGGTAGTCTTCACTTTCATTTGGCATTTAATTCTGTTTTTTTTTTTTGTGTCAAAGGAAGAAATGTATGTGAAAGCCTTTTATAAACCAGAAAGCACTATACACTCATATAACTTATTGAAATTAACAAAGGACCACTGTGCCTCTTTTCACGCTTTCTGCTCCTTCTGAGCCAAAAGAACTTCTCCATAGAGGAGGGAAATATTGAAGAAAAATAAAGCAATGGAGTTGTCTCTTAGCAACTGAGTTCATGCCTTATAAATCTTGCCCACTTTAGATTACTGCTGCTCAAAATCACTTGCTTGCCTTACTGGCTCAGTGCAAATAATGTTATTAAATTATAGAAAAACCAAGGAAAAAAAATCTAATGAATGAGTCACTCAGTGTATTGATTGTGCTCTCTGTCTTGCATAGCACTATTGGCAGAGTTGGATTGTCTCTTTCTCTTGATTCTATTGCAAAACATACACACACACACACATACATATATGTATGTATGTATATACGCACATATCTTGCTGCAACTTAAATTATAAACTAAGTAGAAGCTAAATACCACCTTAGACATTTTGAGGTTACCTGAATCTTGAAATAATGTAGATGTCACATAGGTAGTACATGTACTGTAATAAATCAAGTTGTGCATAGCTTAAAGAAGATCGGGTGTACAAAAACTCAAGCCAACTCAAGGTGTGATTATTTGTGTTATAAAATAAATCATTATAAGGATTCTTCAGATAGGTTTTCATAGTATATTTCACTTAGCAAATAATTCCAAGTATTTTATATGCTAGACAGTAGAAGAGAGAAAGATTCTATGTGTGTTTGTGTGAATAGTCTTTGGCTTTCAGTATGAGAAGGTAGATATAAGACGTGCACACAAATAAGGCAGTACAATGATAAATGTCTTGTGAGTGGTGAGCTGAGTACTGTAGAAGTTCAGACAAGGGAAAGGTCACTTCCAGCTGGGTGAGCTATTATGATTACATGGACAAGATGACATGTTAGAGAACAGAAAACTAACAGAGAGTTTGTCAAGTTTAGTAATTAAGGCAAGATTGAAGAGGCAGGTAAGATGTTGGCGCCTTCAGCTCTAGAGCAAGGAGTTTAAACTTCAGTCAGGAAGCAATGGGGAGCCACTGACTTTTTTTTTTTTTTTTTAAATCAAAGCCTTGTCTAGGAAAATTTATCTGGCAGTAATGTGTAATTTCAGTTAAAAAAAAAACTGACTTGCTGATAGTCTTTTAGGCTCCTTTTGTATGAAACAAAGCTGCATTTATAAATAAGCCAATTACAGAATTGATTCATTTCTAGTCTTTTTAAAAGGTAGTCAAAAGCCTATTTTGAGATGCAATTAGATCCAGGAGATAAGCTGCTTAGTTAAGATATAAGCAGTCTATGAAGTGGAGTAAAATACTACATTTCATACTTTCCAAAATCATTCTCAAGGATCTTTTGTGTCAATTAGCCATCCTAGTGATTCCTCCAGCTGAAACAATGCAGAAATCCTCCATTTTCTCTTTTTCCCTCCCTACTTTGATAGAATGAATGTCTATGATGAAAAGACTTTCCTACTGGTTGCCCTCTCAGATTTGTTCTTAATTTTGCCAAATATTCATATACCCCTGCAAAAGACTGTGCTTGCCTGCCTTTCTCCTTTAGTGGGAGAAACCAACAGTAGGAGTGATGGCCTACCTCACGGGGGTTGTTGTGAGGCCCCTTGGGTACAAAGATGAAGTGCTGTGTAAATACTCGGAAAATGTTGATAATCGATTAAGAAGTGGACCTCAGATGTTTTGTTAATAGAAACCACTGTAGATTGGAAGTGCAATGTTTTCGTAATAAAGACCATCTAATAAGGCTGGCTATTGTTTTCCATGTGTGGTATGCCTCGGGGAAACTTAGAGCATAAAATGGGTCCCACCTGCTACTATTAGGGAAGTAACACTTCCTACATATTTACCTCACAGTGAAATGGTGTTTTTAAAACAGCACAACTAGAGAAGCAGTATGTTCTTGTGAGAGCCATATTATAAACCAAAAGGTTGAGAATATTCATCTCGGCTTAGTTACTAATTTGCTGTGTCACTGAACAAGCCAGCGATCCTTTTTGTGCCTCAGCCTTCCGAAGAGACTGCCTGAAGCCAGCCAGGCCAAAAAGATGCTAACTGCCAAATCAACGGGAAAATGTAGGGGACTCAGGAACACGTAACTGAAAGCTATTGTGTAAAATAGCTTAAGAATCAGATGGTGGGACACCGAAGAGCACACCATGTGCCCGTCTTACCCCCTTGTACTGACCAGTGGGTTTCTCCCTAAGATCAAGTGGCAGGGGAGAGAGATGGGCCTTGAGGAAGAATTCGTGGTTCCCACTCCAGAGATCCATCTGGTCACCTCTCAGGTCAATCCAAGCCTAAAGAATCTAGAAAAAATCACATTTGATTCTTCTTGGTCTTTGGTGCTATTTAGGACCTCATAGGCATTTTCATTGTCTCTCTTGACAAGGCTCAGGCCTTTCAGCAGCCCTGACTGCCATCATGTCTCTGAGCTTTTGGAAGGGCACAGTCTGGCTCTTGGGCGACACTGCATCCTGCTGTCTCCTACTGATCCAGAAAGTGTGTGTCTTCAGATGGGGCAGGGACTGATTTTTTTTAACTCAGAATATTATTCCCTGATGAATTCTTAAATAAAGACTTAATAATGTGATATAAGTTGTTTTTTTTTAAATGTATTTTGGGTTTCAGAACAAGAATTTTCTCTACTTCTGACCTAAAACATGAAGAGAAGCTCAGGAGAGTCTTTAAAAACATCAGTTCATGGCATTAATTGGAAGCATTTCTTTTATCTGAAGTTGGGACTGAATCTGACTAGCTCCTCTCAAGGCTTAAAAGTTAGGAGCACAATTTTAGAAACAAGAAACTTTGAAAGTTTTCCCTTTTTTGCTGTATCTTTCAGATGCCAGGCAGAGCTTGCTGTGTTGAATCAAATTGAAGCATGCCCAGTAAAAAATAATAGCCCCTGGCTTGGGAACTAGACCTTAGTTCATTCGGAAACCAAAACGATCCTGGCCCAGTTTTAGTGTATGGAAACTCTCCAAACCACCTTGGCTAGCGCCTGGTATTGTAGAACCAGGCTGGGGAACACGAGGGCTCAGTGGCTCTCTACAATGGTGGGAATCTGCTGTTATTTCTTAGCAGATCAAATCCATGGTGAATACTAGCATACAGACTGTGTGGTCTAGTTCAGGCTGCAACATCAGCATGAATAGTTTAAGACTAAGTCCAGGAAAGTGAAAGAAACCACAAAGACTAAGAGAGTGAGGGCTTGCTTGGGTAGCCACAACAGCACATTTTAGACATTCAAAGATCATTACTTCTTTCTTCACAGTACCTCTCTGTGGAAAGATTATGGAGGAATGAAAGGAGGAAAGCCTTGACTCAAAAAAGGAAAATAAGAAAAAAAAATATATTTGTGTGTGTGTGTGTGTGTGTGTATAGTGTATATATATACACACACACACACACACACACACACACACAGTGATCATCTATACTGCCTGGGACTCCCTAGTGTTTATTGGGTGTGTACCCTTTCAATACCTTGGGTCAATACCTTCTCCCTGATTCCTCATCCTTTAATGATGCTGCATAAACCAAAAGACTGTTAATATGTGGCCCATTTGCCTACTATTAATTCTGTAAGAACAGGATAGGAAGACTTAGGGAATACTTGTACTCCATTCTGTTTTTACACTGTTCACTCTTTTTCTTCCATTAAAAACCTATCTTATTCTCTTTTTAGGTAGCAGTATAACTAAATACACTGAGAAGCTAGAAGAGATCAAAAAAAGTGAGTAACACTAGTGATCGTTTGGGATAATGGGGCCCTGAAGTTCTAGAAGTTGGTCATTAACAACCTTAACCCCATCCTACAGCTGCCACGGGCACAGAGAACGATGGGAGGTGGGCGAGCCCGGCAGGTGCCTGGGAGGATGTGGGAAATACCGTGTACCATCCCAGCCAGCTGCCGAGCTTGTTGCCTGAGGGCCGAGTTCTGCCCAACTGATCCCACAGGAGATGTTAGTGTTGGAATGTAGAATGAGCTCTCTCGTTAGGCAGCAAGTGGCCAGGCTTCTGGTTTCATTGTATTGCAGTCTCCACAGCCTTTTTCCAAGGTCATGATCTTTCCCATCTTCTTCGTTTTCTCTATGCCCAAGATAGGAATAATATCGTCTCCTCTTTCATAACATCCTTTTGCGTATGAATTAGTCAGTATTCATGAAAGACATCGAGGAGAGAAAACGAGCTTATTATTAAAGTGGTGCTATGCCTTCCAAATCCATTGCAGTCTGCTTTCCTTTGATTAAAAATCCTATTTCATGCACATCCTTTTTACAAACTAATCTTCTTCAAAGATATGCTACTAGTCACCAAATGCATTGCCTTTGCACAAAATCATAATTTTTCAACCTGCGTCCAAAGTGGATGTATAGTATACACACCAATTCCAGAATTAAAGAAGTAGAAACATCCCTTTCCTAAAATGGATTTGTTCATATCCTCAGTAGAAGAATCTGGTGCCAGGGGAGTAGTTAGCTAATGGTAGTAGAGAGGCACTCTGGTGGTTCACAATTCAGGACTTCACTCTGGTAATCTACATCTTTTGGCAAGAGAATATCACAAACCCAGAATTCACCAGAACTTCTGTTTTTATAACACAGGCCTTTTAATTTAAATGATAATGTTTCTGCCTCTCTTGATTTGCTGCGGCATTGAGAAACCCCACCAGTAGTGTGGAACTCAGGAGCAGCTTTATGCTGTGTTAGTTGTCATGTTCAGCTATAAGGGCTCATGTAATAGACATTTGTCTTTTCATGTGTAATGTCATGCTATCTTTTTCAATCTGATATATTAGATTTTATACTTTTATTATGTTTTACATTACGTTGAGTATATATATTTTAAGTATATATTGGCCATTTTAAACTATTTGAAAAAAAATCTCATCAACTCACCCATGCTTCACAGTTGTCGTCCTTAATTCATCCACAGCAGGTAAAATTCAGCTGGCTTGCTTCTGTTTGGGTTTGCCATCTCTGTTGCCTCCTATCCATTCGTAACTTACTGTAAGCTTACATGTCCACACCAAAATTTGTTCCCTAAAAATGTCCTCTTCCACCCAGGTTGCTGAACCCTGTTTAAAACATTTCTTAAAAGCACAATGTGGTTTCTCTGATATCTAAACTTCAAATGGAGCTTGTTTCTACCACCCTCTCTCCCCTTGCCCCCCCAACCACCGTCACCAAATACCTCTAGAATAGAGTCCTTGAAAATGTTTGCTTCCCTCTTTAGATGCTTTGGACTTCCTTTTATTTATTTATTTTTTGTTTTTTTATTTTTTGGACTTCCTTTTAGCAAAACAGGAGGCTCTTCTCCTCTCACCTTGTTTCACACACTTTGTGCTGATTCCCTGACTAGAATTACTTCAGATTCGGGTTTGAGATCTACATTTTGGAAGATATTTCCTTCTTTTTGCCCACTTTCTATTGTAGATGTTCTTTCAGGTCAAAAGGGAGGAGAATATTGCCTTGTTTCATGTCACCCTACACCCGTCATTTTTCTCGGGTTACCTTAGATGCCATGTCTTTCTGTGAAATCACAAACCTTGTTCTGTTACTTCCTTTGATTTGTCTTCCACTGTGAGCCTAACTTCCCTTTGCTAACAGCATGTTTTAACAGAACCCTGAAAACGCAGCATTCCTCTGTAATCTGAATATTCTTTCTACTCTGTCTCAGGAAAATGGACACTCTGTGTCTATTGACTGCTCACAAAGCCTATTCTTGGCTTCTGGTGGTTAGATGACACTCGCTGGACCCAGTGTGAAGCATCCTAGATAGTTAGGTCTCTGTCCTTTCAGTAACTCGAGAGAGCCAGACTGAGACTCCAGACTCACCGGAGAAGCAAACCTTGATAACATATCTGAAACTAGGATTTTTTGTCTCCATCCTGGAGTTTGGGAGAAGCGACAGGAGCAGAAGCTCCATTCTTAAAGCTCTTTTCGCCCTTGCGAGGACAGACTGCCAGAGCTTTCCAAGTCCTCCTTTTTTATAAAATTTAAAACTTACTAGGAAAACGTCTAGTTTGATCTTTTATCTCTGAGTAATAATGTCAGAAAGTCCTAATGATGGCTGTCCTTCTAAACAAGAACCAGGTATGTAGAGTTCAGGCTCAAATGTGCGGTGGGATGTCTAGTGCCTAAGAGACAATCCTGGAAATGCCAATCAGTAGAATATAGTAGAGCCTGTTTTTTCATTTGAGATCATTTCTGCTTAGTCAAAGGGGATTCGTTCGTGTACATTTTGTAATGGGAATGTGAAGAAGTGGAGAAGTACTTCAAATTCTGTAATTATACCAAAAGAATATCAGTGGATAAAGGCCACAGTGCAAATTACTTGAAAGCTGTTGACTCTCTTTATGGGCTGATTTATTGCCATTGTGATTTACATAAATGACTTTGGTGGGAAGATTGGTGGCTCCTGAAAGGAGGTGGTAGTTATTCCGCTGCACTTTTGAAAGCTTCTGGTCAGCCTCTTGGGTTGGCATCCTGGCAGGTCTTAGAAACTCCTTTGCATCTAGGTTTGTTACTTTGTTTTATCCATAAGAAGCTATTCTGAGAATTTTCTAGAAGTAATGGTAAGTTATTAGCCACGTTGCTCTCTCAGAGATGTCTGAAAACAGAGAAGCTTGAATTCATTGTAACAAAGAGACTTGCCAGATTGACAAAAGTCTAGTTTTTAAAGTACTGACTTTACTGACTGAGTGGTAAGGTGTTGGTCAACCAAGCTAACGTTATGCTCCAAAGAAAATTCATGGAAGTGATTAGTAACACCAGGTAACTAATTTTAAATACCTTTAATCCCTTCCTTTGTTGCTAGGAGTCTCGGTTTATGTGACTTCTATGCTGTGAAGGCCATAGTAATTATCCACCTAACCTTTAGTAATTCGGAAATAATGAGGAAGCACTTAAGGAGTTATGGGCGCCAATATAAAAAATGTTGAAGGGAAATGAAGCGTAAGGGTGGGTGGGAGTTCGATGCTGAAAACTCTTTAGAATTGGCAATCACCTTAAGGAAATTTTAAGGAAGCTAACTTTTAGCATGCCTCCGTGGGACAGATATGAGGTCAAGTGAGATTGGCTGAATTTTAAAAGACCATTCATGTGATATGAAGAGCTGTTGACACAAACAGGCACAGAAGTACTGACATTTGAGTATTTCTCGGGACTGCCAGCTCAAGATAGAGCTGAATAAGTATTGATGTTTCAAAATTTTTTTTTTAAATTGTGGTTAAAAAAAAAACATAAAATTTACCATCTTCACCATTTTTTTAAAAAAGATTTTATTTATTTATTCATGAGAGACAGAGAGAGAGAGAAAGAGGCAGAGACACAGGCAGAGGGAGAAGCAGGCTCCATGCAGGGAGCCCAATTCAGGACTCATCGGGTCCCCAGGATCACACCCTAGGCTGAAAGCAGCGCTAACCCGCTGAGTCACCCAGGCATCCCATCTTCGCCATTTTTAAGTTTGACACTGCCGCACAATAAATCTCGGGAACTCTTTCATTTTGCAACACTGGGTGGATTTTTAACCAAAGTGGAGTTGCCGAGAAAGTGATAGAAAAGATTATCAGGACCAGGCAAAACCCTGGTTTTGTGCCCAGCATGGTACCCCCGAGACGAGGGTTGTCCTGTGTGTCTCCAGCATAATTTGTAACCTCAGGAACAGAACCGTTCTCCCTACAGGGCAGAGTTAGAATAATAGGGTGTGAATATCTTACCAGCTGTTTGACCTGGGGCAACTGAGCTTCTCTGGGTCTCTGTCCTCATTTGCAAAACGCGGAGGTTTATTCCCTGCTCTGTTCTGAAAAGGATTTGAAGTGGCTTACAAAAAAATGCATGCAGCACAAAGGTGGGCAAAAGAAAGACAGCAGAGTAAAAGGGAAAAATGGTGAGTGGATAGAATAAATGCGAGGAGTGAAGTCATTAAAATAAATGCAAGGGATAAAGTTACTAGACAGAAAAGGACAGCTTGTAAATTCAGCTTTAGGCTTCCCACCAGCCAAAGCAAAGGGCGGGGGAAGGAATGAAGAGATGCTTAGAATGCCTGGCACACTTAATTTTGAGGATACTATGACAATCAAATAGGAGATAGTATAGATAAAAGCATATACATCATTGGAAATGGCACTATCTAACTTGAGGACTGGAAAGAATGAGTACTCTAAGACAGAAAAACATTCCTAGAGAATTATTTGTCCCATCTTGCATTTCAGATTATAGATACAGAAAGGATGAGCTCTTCAAGAGACTAAAAGTTACTACCTTTGCCCAGCTGGTAAGTTATATTTCTAAATTCCAGGCAAGGTAATGTTTGCGGATGGGTTTCTTCGGATTTTTCACATTTCACCTGTAGGAGGACTGATGTATGGTGTGTGTGCTCATTCAAGGGTAATATGAACAGTCTTCTTCTTTTTTTTTTTTTTTTTAAGATTTTATTTATTTATTCATGAGAGACACACACAGAGAGAGAGGCAGAGACATAGCAGAGGGAGAAGCAGGCTCCCTGTGGGGAGCCCAATATGGGGACTTGATCCGGGACTCCAGGATCACGCCCTGGGCTGAAGGCTGGAGCTAAACCACTAAGCCATCCAGGCATCCCAAGAACAGTCTTCTTTGATAAGAACTTTATAAAGTGAGTGTCTGGGTGGCTCAGTGATTGAGTATCTGCCTTTGGCTCAGATCATGATCCCGGGGTCCTGGGATGAGTCCCAAATTAAGCTCCCCACAGGGAGCCTGCTTTTATAAAGTAAAATGTACATTCTACCTTTAAATCATCACACTTGTTTAATTTTTCCTTGCACGCTTTATTTATTTATTTTTTTAATTTTTATTTATGATAGTCACACACACACAGAGAGAGAGGCAGAGACACAGGCAGAGGGAGAAGCAGGCTCCATGCACCGGGAGCCCGACGTGGGATTCGATCCTGGGTCTCCAGGATTGTGCCCTGGGCCAAAGGCAGGCACCAAACCCCTGCGCCACCCAGGGATCCCTCCTTGCACGCTTTATTTAATTTGATATTTAGAATCTAGAATTCTGGTCTCTGGATTATTTGGCCATGTTTCTCCATGAAACCAGGTGCTTGCTCTTCCACAGCTGAGCTCTTTTCTGCCATAGGCCATTTTCTTACTTTGGGAAAGTCACTTTCTTCTTTCATTTGAAAATTACAGAAGAAGTATCTCTCTGGCCCTCAAACATGAGTTTCATTGATGTACCTCAAGGTGGATCTTGGATCTTAGGAAATGAACAGTGAAAAGTGCTTATTTAAACACTGTGTGTAGGTATACAGCATTGTGATAAATATATTCATAATTACATTTATTTTTTCATTGCACATGGAATTGTTGAGTCAATTCTGTCATTGTAAGTTTTGCATATTATGTTGAGACTGAAATATAGGTGATTGTCATTCACTTTTATTGTCCTAAATTATCCTTTTGGTCTTTTAAGTTTATCATGTGATGTTTTAAATAAATTTTTTTGTTTTTTAACCATCATCTCCAGCATAATTAACACTCCCAAAGTAAGGAGGCCTGAGATTTAGTCCCAGTGGAGGATGCTGACAGTTCTTTAAACTAAGAGATCTTTGATGTTTGATGTTTCCTCGTCTTTTATAAAAGACAGAATTGCCTCTGCTTAAAGACAAACAAACATACACGCCATCTACACGTTTCATTCTTTCTTCTATCAGGTCATCCAAGTTGCTTCCCTATCTGATCAAACACTGGAAGTGACAGCTGAAGAGATTCAAAGGCTAGAAGGTAATGAGAATTGAGGATGTGGGGCAAATAAGCAATTGACCATTTGACTGAAGTACTCACCCTGTCTGTCTTTGCTGTTGTGTTCACAGGGAATTGGGACTTTGATGGATCTATTTGTAATTAGATGGCTACTCTGAGAAATGCTATCTGGTGCTTTAATTGTTAATTCTTATTTCTTTTTCAAAAGCCATCTGGTTTTCTGGCTCTAACATTTGTAGTTTTAAATGTTTTTGATGTGTTTAATATACTAATTACTTCTTTTCCAACAAATATTTTTAGTGCCTTGGATATACACACAGGTCATAGTATGTAGTGCTAAGAGACTACAAAGGTGAATGAATAATGCACAGCTCTGCTTACACAGAGTTGGTAGCCCCGTGTGCACTCGTGCACACACGTGTGTGTTGACTGAGGAAAATGATAACAGAAGCACAAAAATCACAAACGTGTCAGAAATTCATAATGGAGGACTGGAAAGAACCTATCTTTTGTCAAATGTATATGCTAAACACTTCCCTCGAGTTTTCTTATTTAATCTTATGAAAAATTCTAGAAGAAAAATACACCTTAGAGATGAGAAGCCCAAGCCTCAGAGGTTAAATTACTTGCCCAAGGTGATACAGCCAGTAAGGAATGGGCACAGGATACAGATCTACAGGTGTCCAGTAACCACCAAAGTCTTTACTGTGGGAGTTCTGAGGCTGGAAAGGTACTTTCCAGGCATAAAACTGAGGTAGGCTTTCTTAAAGCTTTTATACTGGGGCATAAAAGAGGGTAGAATCTCTACAGGTGCAGGTTAAGGGTGAGGTTCTTGCAACCTGAGCAAAGGTATCTGGGAGAGAATGTAAAGGTCCAAGCGAGTTTGGGGTATATGTCACCCAGCCTGGTGGGCCATCTAGGGGAGGCCTGGGTGCTGGGATGGAGATGGGGCTAGGAAGGTAGGCTTCTAGCTCCAGCTTTCCTTCCTGAAACATTGAGCCAAAAAAAATCTCTTAGTACTGTCGTGAAAAGAATTCACAGAGTTAAGGTCTTTATTTTATCCTGAGGTACTCAGCCATCAATGCGTGGCTCTTTACTGAAGGGACATGTGTTTTGTAAAGGTTGATATAGGCCAGGAATTTGACTTCTGATTTCGAGACAAGTTTCTCAGGAAGTCCAAACCCTGGTTTTGTGCGACTTAGCTGTCATTTCCCTGGCTTGTTTTTGTTAGGGAGGATAAAGAGCATCTGACAAAGACAGGAATTTATATTTGACAGATGCCTCTCACACGGCAGAGAAGTAAGGGCTCTTTGTAACAGAGATAATTGAGTCTCCTCATAGAACTACTCCCAATTTTAACCTGGTTATATAAGTACCTGGATTTGGTCCTTTAATTCATTGCAATTGCAGCACCAGAACATATGGGCACATGCAATTTTCTCTTCTGAAATGAATTTGCACAGCAAAATAGGCTCTTGTAAAGTAGGACACCATAATGTGTGAGTAATATTAGTGTTTTTCTAGTGCTCTACACAGAATAATAACTCACTCAGGAATGCCTGTGGAACAGATTGTATGCATATTGGCTATTTTTGAAGGAATAAAAAAATCTCCTTTTGTAATGTGTATTGTTTTTTCCTGACTTAAAAGTGTATCTCTAGAAAATTAGAAAACTGCAAAAAATATATAAAGAAGAAAATTATAATAATAATCCCTGTTAACATTTTGCTGTGTTCCCCCAAATTCATACTCTTTGTGTATGCTTTTGAATTGTGCTGTTTCAAATTAGCATTTTATCATGCAAACTATCCCATATCATTAAATGGACTTCACAAGCCGAATTGTGAAGGTTGTGTTGTCATATAATGCCTGTCCTTTGGATATACCATAATTTAATTATTCTCCTATTGGACATTATAGCTTTTTAAATTTTTCACGTTTATAAAACAATGCTGTAATGTAAATACATACACGTTTCTGTGCTTCTGATTATTCCCTGAAGATAAATTGCTGCAGATGGTCGAAGGGTGGAACCATTTTAAGATGCTCGATGCTGATTCCACATTATCTCCAGATTGGTTCTTCCTGTTTGCATTCCCAGAGAATAAATGAGAGGACCTGTTTCTCCCCATCCTAGCCAATGCTGAATAATTATCATTTTTGCAAGTGTTTGCCAATTTGATAGATGAAAAGTGGTATCTAATAATTTTCTTTTGAATCTTCCTGATCGTGAAATTGGGCTGTGTGTATGTGTGTGTTTATTGGTCATACCTATTTTTTCTTCTGAGACCTTACATGTCCTTCCCCATTTTTTTTCTTATGGAACGTTCATCTTTACTGATTTGTAAAAGCTCTGTGTATTAGGATATCCTTAAACAGTGGAAGCCAATACAGCCTTGAAAGTAAATGAGAAAAAGCTTTACTTAATGATTTGGAACAGTTTTCAAGCTTTATCATTAAGTAAAAATAAAACAACAATACAAAAAACCAGAGCAGTATGAATGGCATTCTCCTGATATGTAAAAAGGGAAGGAAATAAACTATATGCAAAAGTCCATAGTTGTTTTATTTCTGGAAGGAGACAGAAATAAGTGAAGGTAGTTCCCTTGGGAGAGGAGGCCTGAGGGCCTACGGGTCTGCAGTGGTTTCTATATTAATGTTTTTATCTTTGCATTTTTACTGTGCATATGATCTTTTTTCAATTAAAGCACTAGTTAATTAAAAAAACCTCTTTCTAAATTAAGTATATTAACCTTTTCTCATGCATCTAGGTCATAGAGATTTTTCCTAATTTGTTACTCACCTTTTAATTTTCTTTGGGTTGGTTTCTGACATACACGAGGTTTGCATTTTTACATGATTAAATCTATTAGCCTTTCCTGTTGTGTTCTCCTTTATTGCCTTAGACCCATCAAATCCAAAATAAGATAAATTATTCACCTATATTTTCTTTTATTAGTTTGCTTGGTGGTTTTGTTGTTGTTGTTGTTGTCCCCCCCCCCCCCATCAATCTACTTATTAATGTTTTGGTATATGATGTGAAGGGGTTTTATAAATTTGATTTTTCAAATCTAGATAGTTGGCACATTATCCCACCACCATTTATTTATTCAGTCACTCTCCCTTTACCCACTGGTTTATGATGTTACCTTTAACATATGTATTAGCTTTTTATATATATATTCTGGGATTTGTTTCTGTGTTGTCTTTTATATTCCATTGTTCTGGTTTATGGCCCAGCATTGTTTTTGATCATTTATCTTTGCAATATATGTTACTATTCACTAAGGCATAGTCTCCAAATTACCCACATGTATGTATGTGTGTGTGTGTGTGTGTATAAAAAGTTTTTTTTTTCCTTCTCATCTTTAAAATCCTTTTAAACTTTTCAAAAATCCCATTGGGATGTATTAAGGCTAAAAATTAAGTTTGGAAAGGATTAATATTTCACTTTTTTTTTTAATTTTTATTTATTTATGATAGTCACAGAGAGAGAGAGAGAGGCGCAGAGACATAGGCAGAGGGAGAAGCAGGCTCCATGCACCGGGAGCCCGATGTGAGATTCGATCCTGGGTCTCCAGGATCGCTCCCTGGGCCAAAGGCAGGCGCCAAACCGCTGCGCCACCCAGGGATCCCTAATATTTCACTTTTAATCACCGAGTCAGGAATGTGAAGATACATCACTGTCTTCATTTGAGTTTTCTTTAATATCTCTTAGGTAAAAATTTTTATAAGACTTATAAAGGACTTAAATTTTTACAGGTCCTTTACATTTCTTAATAGGCTTGTTTTTGAGGAGAGCATATCTTATATATTTGCAGTTGTTACTGTAGATGAGATGCTCATCATGTTCCTTTCTAATTGGCGTATAGGAAATATAGTTTGCCTGTTAGTATTTCTTTTTTTATCTAACCACATACTTATTTCCCTTATTCTTATAGGATTCTCCTGAAGTTTCTAGGTATATCATATGCAAAATAAATGTTAGTATCCTCTTTAATAACTAGGTCTTTTATTTCTATTTCTTCTCTTACGGTACCAGTTAGAACAGCAAATTCTCAAAATTTTTTGGTACAGTCTCCCTCCACACTCCTAAAAATTATTGAGCACCTCAAAGAATTTTGGGTTATGTGCATTATATCTATTAATACTTAGGGTATTAAAATTTTTAACCGAGAACTTAAAAACATTTATTTACTATTTTGTTTATACTAAATCCTTTGCAAACATAAATAACACTTTTATGCAAAATAGCGTATTTCGAAAACAAAAAAATTTTTTACCAAGCCTGGCATTGTTTTACATTGTTTTGTAAATCTCGGTGTCTGATTTAATAGCAGACAGCTGATTCTCATGGCTTCTGCAATCAATCTGTTGCAATATGCTCTTTGGGTTGAAGTACATGAAGAAAATCTGGCCTCACACAGACCTGTAGTTGAAAAAGGGATAATCTTTTAATAGCCCTTTCAGGTAATTTTTGGACACACCTCTTTGATACTACACCAAAACTTGACAATTTGTAGCTTCTTAAAGGTAACTTGTAACAGAATCTGAAACCATATCAATGCACGTTTCATACCTCTGTTAAATTAAGCCCACTGGTCTGTCTTGTACTTTGAATTAATCTTTTTACCCATGCGTGATTTTATAACATCATTCATCGGTCACTTGGAAGAGATTGATTCACCAAGTTATGAAGATCTTCCAAACATTGACAAATTTCATTCATTACCCAGTATCAAAAAAATCATATTTGTTAATCTAACCACCTATCTTATCACAAAAGTCATTAAGTACAAGGAAAGCAGTCAAGCTCCTGATGGCAGACACAGTTTCCAAAATTCTGATTTTTGTTCAAAATTGAATCATTACAATGATACCATCAGTTGTTTTCCTCGAAATGACAGTTCACTTAGATCATTTTTGAGAAAATGTCTGCCACATGCACAAGTCTAAGTAACTATAATTTTTCTGTCAGTTTTCCTTCCAAGTAAAAATGGTGTTCAGGGCAAAAGCAGGAATAATCACACTAATACCTTCCCTTGAGACATCGAGAGGTCTCTTGGTATGTAGCAGACTTGCTGGATGTGGACTCCCCATTTCATCACACAGAATATTAAAAAGATGTGTACTTAAAGATGAGATTTAATAGAATTATGATTATGGCTCCATCAGGGACTTTTAAAAATGTGACTGCTGTATTTATTAACCGAGCACGTTCATGTTGGTGAAAAATATGACGATCACTAATAAAACTTGGTGCCTCTTCCCTGATTGTTGCGGCAGCGCTCACGGTTTTAGCCACCTTTACTTTTGTACAAAAGCACTTTTGTACTTTTGTAATCCAGATATCAGCACAGTAAAGAGACCTTGCGGGTTCCCCTGAAAGGGTCCCAGGGACTCCTGGGGTCCGCAGACTACATTTTGAGCACATTATCTGTTAGAACTTCTGGGACAATTTAATAATCGTGACTGCTGCACAAAGTGAATAAACTCTGAGGTCAAATTTACTTATGTATCCACTTGCAAATCTTAGACAATGACTCTGCTACTTCAGAGCCGGATGGGGAAGTCGGTGCCAGGACCAATGGGAAAGGGAGCCCCGGGGAGCAGTCGCCAAGCCCCGTGCAGTTCATAACCAGTGCGGGAGCTGGAGATTCCAGTCGCTCGACCCTGCAGAGGTACGCTGATCGAATTTGTGTTCTCCCAGCATTTTACTTCATATGCATCTGAATACCAGTTTCAGTGATTTAATCATTCTAAAAACAGACTGGCAGTAGTCAAGTCCCACACTTTCACCCCGCCCCCCCAGCCCTTCTATCTTCTCTTGATATAAGTGCCACCATCTGAATCTTTTCACAGCATCTTAGTTAAGGTAAGAATACATTGATAGGAGAGCATTAATTTTCACTCCTTAACTCCATCCTTCTCAGCCTTCTGTATGCAGGTTTGCTATTAGGACTTAGCTTTACAACCACTATCTTTTGATTCCCGCTCCCGCCCCCTTTTCTGTCTGCTGCAGCTTATAATTACCCTGTCTGGAATCAGAAGAAAAATAGAGTGCCATACGCCATGCTCTGATATTGCACAGGTGCAAAGGAGCATGAAAGCAGCCTTTGGTGTCCGTCTTCAAACTGGTCGTGACTGGTCCTTTCTGCATAGACTATAATGCAACACTTTCTCACAGATATTAGGTGTTGATTATAAGATGGTGCTGATTTTCGGCACACAACTGTCCCTTCTACTGGCAAAACAGTTGTACCAGAGAAACTGTGTCTGCAGAGAAAGAATTGCTATCATCAGTACCACTATTTCTTTTATAACTATTTGATGCAAAGACTCTAAAATTGGAATTAGCGACACAGACCAACAAGACTTCCATTAAGGATGCAGTTTCACAGGACACCTGGGTGGCTCAGTGGTTGAGCACCTGCCTTCGGCCCAGGGCGTGATCCTGGAGTCCCAGGATCGAGTCCCACATTGGGCTCCCTGCATGGAGCCTGCTTTTCTCTCTGCCTGTGTCTCTGCCTCTCTCTGTGTGTCTCTCATGAATAAATAAATAAAATCTTAAAAAAAAAAAAGATGCAGTTTCATAGGAAGTAGATTTTCTTCTCCTTTGGTTCAATAAAATATGCACTTTATGGCATCTTTCAGATTTAAATGCAGAATTGGATTTGCAGTGCTGGGTGTGCAGCCATTGGTGCCCACCAGTGTGTGGTCTGGCACGCATGTCTTCCTATTTGCCTGAGAAAGGCATCTTCTTCCTATTCCAATCCAGATATTTCACTATTTGCCATTTTGTTCATAACACCCACTCCTTCAATTCATGTTTTTTGCCACATTTTGCCTGTAATCTTAATATGGCAACCAATTTTACAACCTCTGAAACAGAACTGTCGTAGCAAACTCATTCATTTGTTTCATCTGTCTCATTATATGAATGCCACCAAATCTAAAAGCCTCTTCAACCTCCACACTGTAACCTATAAACTGGGAGTAAGTACAGATAACCATTGAAAACATTAAGGTTCAAAATACGGATAGGTAGCTGTGTAAGTATATGAGACACATCAAAACATTATCATTGTTTTATGTTACATAATGTATATAGGAAGTCTTCATTTTTCTTGTCCTGTCACCCTTACTCTTTCCCCTTCTGCTCTGCTTTCTTACATGCCTTACAATTCCATTAGATTAACTGTTGGCCTCTTTCTTTTGCTGAATGCTGTCCTTTTTGCTGGAGGTGGCATGTGTCCTATAGTTTCTGCCCCTCAGCCATGTTAATGACCTAACATTCTCTGAAAGGTGAGTATGGATGGACACGTGGGTCCCTTCTTCGGGGTCCAGTGTGATAGAATAGGAATCCATACGGTCCTGCAACAGTCGAGCATTCAGAGGCAGAACTGAGACACCATATACATTTTCCTTTTTCTTTGAAGTATCCTCTGAAAAGACACTGAGCACTCTCTGGCTATTCTGAAGAAGCACATTTGACCTTGAAGACACTCACCCCTAACTAGTTTCTGCCGATCTACTTTTCATCTCCTTTTCACTTGCAGCGTCATCAGTGGTGTTGGGGAACTGGATCTAGACAAAGGGCTAGTGAAGAAAGCAGAGCCCAACACCAAAGACAAACCTTATCCCGACTGCCCCTTCCTGCTACTAGATGTGCGAGACAGAGATTCTTACCAGCAGTGCCACATTATTGGAGGTAAGAGAGAGGAAGGCGTTCTGGTGTCTCACTGCCAAGAACAGAGCCCGTTCTGGAGTCCAGGCAGGCTTGAGCCACATCCCAGAGTCAGCAGTTAAGGACATTTTATGTTAGCCGGATGCATCGTGGGAACCTGGAAGTTGGCTCTACGGAAATGCTCTCAAAGAGGGTGGCGACATTCTCAGGTGGCTCTGGGGCCCAGTGCTAATAAATGTCAGAAATGATGACATGAAGCTTCGTATTTTGTTCATAGCATCCTGTTTCTTTTCTGTCCAAAAAGTATTTAGGTTTATGGTGCGTTGATTTTGCAAATATGTTTCTTTGAACTCTTAGACTTTAAACCATTCAGGAATTTGGAGCCAAATTGTACTGAGAGCTACCAACTTCCTAAGCTTTTTTCTTCTCTTTGCAGCTTACACTTATCCAATTGCAACTCTGTCTAGAACAATGAACCCTTATTCAAATGACATTCTTGAATATGTATCCTTTGTTGCATTTTAAGGAGTTGGGTCGTTTGAGGACCTGAAGAGTCAAACTTATCATGAATCATGCTCCTAAGGAAAAAACCTCTCTAAAGGACCTTTGCTATTAATTAGCTCACTTAGCATATTTTAGAATTTGGATTCTCAGCTATTGCTGAGTATCCTGGCCATCCTGGCAGATGCTTCCAAGCCATCCTGCAGTGGGCCAAAAAAACATTAGGTTAAAGGCTGTGATCTGTTGAGAGTTAGTTCTAAGATTTTTTCTCTCCAGAAAGCTTTCCCAAGTAAGACCTAAGTAGTAAATTTTTGTACTTCTGTTTTAAGTATTTTCCTTCTTAAAATTTTACTTTTTTTCTCCTAAAAATTACACAAATGGAAAATAATTTAAGCACTGAAAAACAGAAAAAAGAAGATTGATAATCACACAATTGAACAACTCCAATTATGTTTTTCACATATTTTATTTCCGATTGTCTTCTGTGTTCTTTTTAACAAAGTGAAAATCATACTGTATATATAATTTAGCATTTTGACTTTTCCTCAGTACAACATATTTCCCCATGCTAACACAAGCTCTTTGTAAACCCCATTTTTGATGTAGTGCATTCTCTTATCTTACTATATACCACATTGATTTACTAAACTCTTCCTCTCTAATGGGCTTTTAGGTGGTTCTCCCTTTTTTACCATCATAAATAAGGCTGCAGTGGAGACGTGGGACAAACAAGTTTTCTGTCTCCTCACCTGTGAAATGGAGATTGTAATACCTTTCAGGGTCGTAAGAATCAAAGAGCTAAAGTGTGTAAACTGTGGAACTAGTGCCATCGTGGACCATGATATTAGTTTATAAAAAAAATAAAAACAAACAAAACCCCACCAACTCCTGTGGTTTCCATGACAGGAAAAAAATCCAGTAACTGCTGGTGTGCTGGGTAAGGAGTGGGGTTGTCCCATCCTCTCTGAACTCAGGAAGGTGAACCTTGACATTTCTTTGTTCCATGGGGCGAAGGGGCGGGGTGGGGGGTGCCGTCTCACAGTTTAATGTAGTCCAACCTTAACTCATGTAACTCTTAGAAAAATGCCCATGGCAAGGTCATCATTCTGTACGACGATGACGAGAGGCTGGCCAGCCAGGCGGCCACCACCATGTGTGAGCGGGGATTTGAAAACCTCTTCATGCTTTCTGGAGGTGAGTGGGCTATATTCTGCTCAGGACAGATATTTGGGCTCACAATCCTTCAACCCCCTCCCCTATCACCCTTTTCCTGTCCACGCTCAGATTTTAGAATTCTGGAAAGAGTGAAAACCATGCTGGCTGCAAGGGGTCAGGAGTTATGTGAAACTTCCGTTAGCTCTAACAGCACATGTTTTTAATTCCTAAAATAATGCTGTTGCTTTAGGGCTCTGTGAGAAAGCTGTAATGCTGAAGAGTGGAGCAAAAGGATTTCTGGTGGAATTCTCAGAATCCCGCTTAACCACTGACATGTTCTGGTGTAATTTGCTTAATGGTGAAGCAGTTAAGATTTCACGTCCTTGCGTTGGCTTGGACCCGAAGACCAAAGATGAGGAGACATGCAGCTTCCTTTCCAGGTCTTGCCTTAGCCTCACCATGTTAATGCTGCTTTTTCTGATCCTCTTCCACACCTAGGTCTAAAAGTCTTAGCTCAGAAATTCCCAGAAGGACTGATTACGGGTTCCCTGCCAGCATCTTGCCAGCAGGCCCTTCCTCCTGGCTCTGCCCGGAAACGATCCAGCCCCAAAGTGCCACCCCCACCAGCTGAGAACAAGTGGAGATTTACCCCAGAAGACTTAAAAAAGATAGAATATTACCTGGAAGAGGATCAGGGTCCTACGGACAATCCTAGTAAGATATTTTGACCTTTAGAGATAATGTTTTCTGTAGAACTTGGAGATTTGCAGCTTTGACTATCACCTCATCATGTGAAAAGTTTGATCTCTTATATTCAGGTTCTTAAAATATTTGCAGGGGGAGGGGCAGTGTGCAGGTGCTATGTGGGGAGAGGTGGAAGCCGAGGTGGTGACCCCAGGTTGTGGGAAGAATTAGATGTTGCACATAGAGAAAGAGAAAGGATTTATCAGTCAGATAACGTGTATTTCAGGCAGAGTTGAGGGGCTAAACTGAGGTGCCCAGATTCCCTCTCCGATGAGTTTTGTTTCCCCTCTGCGGCTTCTGGGCACCTTGAAACCCCACCCAGAGTTCCCTTGGGCACACCACTTTCCTTTCTCTTTCCCCTAATCCCTCCTGTAACCGGCTCCAAGAAGGAATGAAGGCCAGGCCAGGTTGGTTGGGGATAACCAAGAGCGAGGAAAAAAAAAAAAAAAAGCTCTCTAGGCTTCCTTTCATCCTTGCACATTCCCCACCTTCAAGTTGATCTCAAGGATAAAGAGTAGGTTTTAGCCTAAAGTAGACGCTGAATAGGATTTCATTAGCTTAAAAGTGGTTGTACCCTAAGACTTCATTAGCTTAAAAGTATACTTGGCAGGTTGTGCCTAGAGTCACTCTTGCAGCTCTGCGCCTTGCTTTCTTGCTCCCTTCAGGCCGGCTGAGCCACGCTAACGCCTCCGGAAGAGACTCCAAGGCTCCAGGCCCCCGCAGCGGTCAGACCCTCCCGGCCGGGGGCCCTGGCGGCCCCCCGAATGCCCGCTCACTCAGCAGTGGCCACCTGCAAGGCAAACCCTGGAAGTAAAGACTTTGTCTGTCTTAGATGAATAAATACTTTTCTTCTCCTTTCGGAATCCCTGAGCAGTTCCCAAGTTGGTCATTTTCAGAAACTGCTGCAGAGGACAGACCACGCACGCCATGTGTGACAGGCCCTCCTCCCTCTGCCCAGGTCCAGCTCCTTTCCTGCATCCAGCTCACAAGGAGTTTTACAAAAAACCAGAGGCATGACAGGCTCTAGTGTCTTCCTTGTTGTTTACAGAATATTTAAGTTCTGAAACTGAGTAGAAAAAAAAGAGTCTAATTTTTTAGGCCTTTCTTTTAAAATAAGGTCCAGCCTGTATTGGTTGATGTCCAGCATTGTTTTATACATTCTTCATTCACATCTTGTGCATTCTTCCCAACCAGTTCTTTTTCACTCACTGTTCTGGGTTTCATGAAGGTTCTGTGAGGCTGGTGCCTGGAGCGTTGCTCAATGTTCAGGTTTGGTTGAGCGACTCTCACCCTCCTCAAGTGTTCCTCCTCCCCGGATGTTTTCCTGAACCAGCACCCTGACGATGTGTGCTCAGCTGCCTTCACACAGGGCACGAGGGCCCCTCCCAGGAAAGCCCGTCCACTGTGTGGGGCTGTGAAGGGCCGGGAAGCCCTCCCCCTTCCCCCTTCCCCCACTCCGCTGCCCCCCTCCCCCCCACACCTGCCCCTCGTCTGCTGTCAGTTCATTGGTGGTAAACTTCCATTCCGGCTTCAGTTGGTCCATCCGGTCGGTCCATCCTAGATGGATCGGAATTACGGCCACTTGAAAACATAGCTTCAGTTGGGCAGCGGCCGGCCCACAAGGTGAGGACGTGTCCCGGTCCTCCATCAGGGCTGACAGTCCCTTTGAGCCCCAGCTTAAAAATACAGTATTAGTCTAATTGAGTAATTAGTGCAATTTCCTGCTTACTTTTCATTCTCATGACTGAGCTGTGATTAGGAGGTTGTGATTATAGATTCTGGTTTAGGCCAGAATTTTGAATCAGCATTAATTGAATTGCTAGGTGACTGACATTCATTCCATTTAATTGGGGGGAACAAAAGACCGCAGGTAAGGATGAGGGACTCCGAAATGATCAGGCAAAGGGAAAGAGCCTTGTTAATTTTTATGGTCTGTGATCTGCAGCTGTGATAAGGGACCAAGGAATAAATTGCGCCCTTTGTCATGGCAACCAGCTTCTGAAAAGCCAACTGAAAATTGCCTATCCTTAGGTGGTTCCTGCTGCCGGGTAAGATTTGCCTTAACAGGACTATTTTTCTCTCCACCAAAAAAAAAAGAAAAAAAGTACTGCAGTATTTCTAGCGTGGGGGGCTGTGTTTGTAAGAGAAATAAAGGTAATGAATATCTCATAGAGACATATGGAAAAATAACTTTCAGATTCAGCCCAGTTCTGTTTTAGTGTGTTTATTCTTCTCTACTTGATTTCCAAAGTGCAACATATTCCGATGCTTTAGAAATCAAACAAACCAGGGACATTGTTCAGATGTCAAGCCGTGCCCAATTTTCCACAAGATTCAAGAATCTTGTATAAAATGCAGCCAACGTACACATAGCTTTAATGAGGAGCCTGTCATGTTTCCCCATAAATTTATTGCCTGAGAACTTAGTTCAGCCTTTTGCTAATGCCAGAATGCTCTGGCTTTTTATTTTCTTTACGGCATAGATTTTAAAAAATGCAAATTTTTCCACACTCCACTTTCTCCTGGCATGGACAAGATTTTCAGCCATTTATGACGCATATACATTTCTCTCTGTAACAAAGTTCTGTTTATGCCATTTTAAAGTTGACTAGTCAGGAGTTTAGATTTCCCCCACTCAATTCTACTTTGAAAACAATGGTAGTTCCCCCTTTGTTCCTCCTCTGCATTCCGATCACCAAACCCCCTTAGAGTGTTAGAACTTACTGTATATACGTGGAAGTCACTGTAGCCAAACCTCTTAGAATCGCTGTGCATTTAGCTGAGACATCTGGCGGGTTGAATATATTTATGTGTGTTTCTCCATAGTGCTTTGCCTGTTGGTAAGGATTTTAAATAGCTACCCCTCAAAGACCTGTTCTGATTCTCCTCTTTCTGTGTTAAGTGTCCACTTGCAGATAGTTTTTGCATGGTTAGGTTATTGCTTCGAACATTCTGCTTTACTAGCTTCTTCATTAGAATAACTGACATGTATTATTTAAGTGATCAGTGGTATTCTGTGCAATTATGGATGTCGAAGATTAAAGGACATAGTTATTAATTTGTTGTTTGCTTTTAATATGCCAAGATCTGCCGACTTCTCTCTTCCTCTCTGTTGAGATGGTTTGGGGGAGCCGCGAGACTGAGGTGATTTGAGAGCATACCTCTTTTAACTGCATCTCCCAAGAAGGCACATATTCTTTGTATAAAGAAAATCAGGACATCATTCCAGCTAGGGTAGGAGACGTTAGCCCTCTACACAGAAGGCCTGGGTTTCTCCTCCTGCTCAGGCAGGGACTGATTGTCCCTTAAGCACATCACAGCAGGACTTTCTCGTCAGTGTTCCAGGGGTTGATGGGCTGCCCTTGCCTGGGAACTTGTGAAACTCCCCCCGCCCCACCCTCACGATGGTAGGTGCTTTAATGATGTACAGCTGCAGCTCTACCAAAGCAACGGTGATGGCCAGAGTCTAAATAATACGTTCCGTGCTTTAAAGGTGTGTGTATCAGGAAGAAAGGAAAAAAGGCAAGGAAGTAAGAAAAGGAGTGAGGGGTGGGGAGGGGAAGCTACATTACTCATTCGAAAATAAAAAGCACATCTTGGGGTGTAATAATGCCAGGTTTAATCTACTGAAAGGCGGAATGATGCAAATGGCCTCAAAGTAATTTTATATTTTACCTTTAGTAGAAAAACCAGAATCAAGGCAGTCATATTGGACTTGGCGTAAATCAGAATTATAAGAGAACAAGTAGTGTTCATTAGCTGCTGAGGGATCTTTCCCTGTGGTGCTATCGAGATTATACAAAAATTATTATTTTTTTAAGATTTTTTATTTATTCATTCATGAGAGACACAGAGAGAGAGAGAGAGGCAGAGACACAGGCAGAGGGAGAAGCAGGCTCCATGCAAGGAAGCCCGATGTGGGACTTGATCCCAGGACTCCAGGATCATGCCCTGGGCTGAAGGCAAGCTCTAAACCACTAAGCCACCCAGGTGTCCCTATACAAAAATTCTTAAGACTCTAGGCCACTCACCAAGAAAACAGAACAAAACAAAAACCTTCTTTTCCCTAATTCCCTAGTGGAATATCAGTGAAATCAGAGTCCTAGGCTAGGAAGAAAGATGCAGGTAATTTTTCTTGTGTTGGTTTTGGTTTCTGTCATGTTACATATCGGTTATAGATTCTGTCTTTATGTTATCCGACATTTGGCAAGGGGCAGGATAATTAATTTCTGTCCACCTAGATTTACATCCACAACTCCCTCCTTGCCCTACCCCCATGATTATCATAGAGAGCCTTTCTTTCCCTGGTTGCAGAATGCTGTCAGTGTCTTTCCTATGCGTTCAGATTCTTCACAATTCTTTCAAAGATATGGTTCCCATAATTTTCTTCTTCTTCTTCTTCTTCTTCTTCTTCTTCTTCTTCTTCTTCTTCTTCTTCTTCTTTTACAAGAAACATCAGACACATAGATAATAGATAATTCATCAGTTTAATTATGTGGGCACAATGATATGCTTATATGCAGTTCAATTAATTTTTTGCTTAACAAATATATTATTTCCTATACTGTGCTTCCATAGTGTTCAGAATACATTTGGGTAGTAATACTTACCTAAAATTGTAGTAATTATTGACATTGTTATTGTGGTGTCCTTAAATTGATACATAAATCAGTTATAGCATGGAAAATATAATGGTGGAAATTTGTTGGCATTGAATTCTGACAAAACAGGAAACAGTGCATGATTTTATGTGTGTTTACAAAACTGTGTTTGTCACACTGCGATCCCCTTAAAAAGTCTCACTCCCTGAAGCTGATCTGCCTTTGTTCTGAATGCAGAAGCAAACTCTCTTCGCCTGTGTAACATCTTGGAGCATCTGGTAAAACGCATGGCAAATAGAGGCCACTTATTAAATAGGCCACTATTGACTGATGGACTACCTTTTTCAAAGGATGCAAATACGTCTTCTATTCTACATTATTTTGACTATAAGCTCCCAGAGGGTGAAAATCACCAGCGATATGACAGTGACCTTTAGTAAGTGGGTATGAATAAATGAATTGAACCTGTCAAGACTGAAACCGGGGATGTAGGGCCCATTATGGTGGCCGCTCAATGCTGGCCTGCCATCCCTGAGACCCAGAGAGCTCGTTATCTTTTGTCCCCATGTACATCCTTTGCTTTTGTAGGATAGGCATTCACAAGCTGGAGATTTTTAGATTACCCACTGCAGGGGGCACCCTGAGAGCTGTTAGGGGTGTTATTATTACCCTGGCTGTCTACAGTCAGCCAGGCCTATTTTCATGTCCCCTCACCCCACCCCCTGGCTGAAAGTAGCCTTCAGAATTCATCAGACACAGGTTGTACACCATCCCCATCTGAAAGCGGGTTCTTTTTCTCTTTTGTTTCAAATCTTGAAGCTTTCCAGATAATAATCCTAGCAAACGCGTGGAGAGCTTACTCTGTTAGGCAGTGTTCCTAGACTCTTCCATATGTGTTTTGACTCATTCAGTTCTCACAACAATCCCATGAGGTGGGTGCCCCATCTTCAGGTGATGTGGCTGAGAAGCAGGTGGAAATTAAGCAAGTCGCCTGGAGCCCGAGCCCCTGAGCTAACAGGTGAGAAGCCAGGAGCCTGCCTGTGAGCTGTGGCTTCCGAGCCAGTTGGTTGGGCCGTTGGGCGCCCTGCTTCCCTCAGCCTCCCCCTCCCTCTGTGACGCCCCCGCAACTCACCAACGTGAATGTAACCTTCCCCTGGGTGTCGTCTTCCCTTCCCTCCTTATCACCTGAGCTCCCACCACAAGCCATCCTCCTTGGCCAGCGCAAAAGGCAACAGGAAGTCAGAGATGGCACATCTGCTCCCAGGAGCATGTCCTTTCCACAAATCCACCGTCGGTGTCCAGGGACCTGTCTCAAGGACAGATGCACCAGGGTCTCTGAGATCTGTTGCATGTCGAAATGAACACTCATGAGGCCTCACTTAAGGAGTTCCAAACTTTTAACCTGACTGTTGGAGAAGAAATGGGCTGCTTCCATAGATCAAACTATTCAGTTAATAAACCATATTGCTATGATTTGTGTCTGATCTTTTCTTTCCTCTTTGGTGACATCTCTGATTTAGGCTGAGACAGAAGTTGGGTGAATTGACTCCTGGCCACAGGCCTGGGTCTTATGGGAGGAAGCAGGGGCCAACCTACGTCTCTGGCTGTGTTCACTGAGCGCTTGTTCCCCTGAACGCTTCTGAAAATGTAGCAGAATGACACTACTGCGGTTGCGCAGAAGACTTCTAATTTTCTTCGTTTGCATTTGGCAATAAACATTTGGCAGTCTCGGTCTCTGGGTTTGTTAGGTGATGCTCACAATTTGAATTGCCAAATTAATGCAGATCCTGAAAGCTTTGGGAGGAAATTCATGACCTTTTGACAGTTTTCCAGATTTGATGTGTACTCTGTGCCTCCTGCTCGGAGTTCTTCCTTCACGTGGCCAACTTGAACGTTACGGTTGATTATATCAGTTTACCATAAGTAGTATCTTGAGCTGAGTATGTTCACAGAATGATGTTTCTGTCCTTAGAGCAAGAGTCCTTCTGCATCCTCAAACCCACCTAGCCCCACTTGCCCTTGCAAAATACTTGCTGAGATGATGAATAGCACTGCACTGGATGAGGGACCAGTGAGGTCATATCTGGATTGTGTTCAATGACATTTCAATTTTAACTTAAAGCCAAAACCAGAAATCTACACGTGTATTTCTGAGTGTTAATTCAAGAGGCCACCTGAAGTAATCTCATGGACCACCGGCGGCCCACAGGCCACATTGAGAACCAGATATAACGGTGTACGACAAAAGCCAAATGAGTTCATTTAAAGACAAAGATTTTTGAAAAGCCCCGGAGACTAGGCATTAGCATAATCAATTCCCCAGATTGCTGCTGGAACCGAATGTGAGCAGAAAGGGCTCTTGGGGATTTTCATCTGAGCTATGGCAGACTGCTCAGGGAACAGCCACCAACTGGAAGCAGGAGAACCCTCTTCCCTTGGTAGAAACACAGCTGCTTCCAGCTCTATCTATAAATTTTTCTGAAGATAAGACACATTGTTCTGGGCAAGATGGTGAAATAGGATGCCAGAGCAGAAGAGATGAGTCGAAGCAAATTATAAAAAAGAATCTGGGCACAGATTAAGATGGGCATAAAATGTTTG